GCTTTGCGTGAGGGCAGACCCCCGCCCGGGCCAGGAGGCCGTTTGCGGGTGGCTCCATCGCATCCAAACAAACTCTCCGTGAGCCTGCGCCAGGCAAAGCCGAGAGGGACGTCAGCCCCGTGCTGTCCCATCTCCCTTTTCTGGTCTCAGCTGGCCACATGTGTCACCAGACGTGAACGGAACAGGCCCAGCCCCTCCCGTGCCCCGACCTGCGTGGCGATTTCTCTGTGCGCGCCAGGGACTGCTGCAGCCTTTCGCCTTGGGACTTGTGTCTGTGCTCCCCTCCCTCTGCAAGTCGCTCAGCCCTACCCAGAAGGGGATTTGGGATGCTTCCAGCGAAATAACACCACGGGCCATGAGGGCAGCACCAGCCAAACTAGTCAAAATGTGAAGAAAAGTCGTGAGCCCATCACAGACGATGTGTGGCCAAGGCCAGGTCTCCAGCTCCCCTGACTCGCAGTAACCCGGTGATGGCAGCAGAAGGTTTGCTGATAGGATTTTGCTTCTTTGAATGCACATCCCGGTCTCCTTATTGAGAATTATACATGAAAGGCAGCATGAGGTCATCAGGCAGACCATCAGCCTTTTAGAGCCTGGCTGTGAGCTCCTGCATGAAATATTGATTCAGGAGGAGCCTGGGAAAGTCTCCTGCAGGTATCAGACCCTTCAGGCCAGGCAAGGATCCTGGAGCCAAAGCAGCAGCATTTACATGAGAAAATCTGCCTGAAAAAATGGCGTTTCTCATCTCAGAGCCTAAAGCTGCAGCTTGGAGGGGTCCAGGGGGGTTTCTCTCAGCTGTAGAATTTTACCTTCTGGTTCAAACGAGGCACCTCAACCTGCCGAAGGACAGGTAGTGCAAACAGCTCAGCAGCTCCTGGGCAGCCAGCACCGAGGATATCTGCCTCTGAACGCCAGGGGACCCCTGCAGAGAGGGGCAGGGGGTGGCGATATTTATACACTGCCCCCCACCCCATGGGGGTCCCATGGAGCTGGGAGCGGCAGAGCTCTGGTCTGTGCTGCTCAGACAAACGGGGTGGAAAATGTACAGAATTATGGGGGTTTGGAGTGGAACTCTGACGGTGGGAGGTTGCCTCCCCTTTGGGGCTCACGGCACGGAGCAGAGCGCACAGAGCCGTGGGAGCACCGTGCCCCCCCCCTGCCTGCGGGATGAGGATGAGGCGGGGTGGCCAAAGACACTGGGGTGAGTGACGCTGACCCCCCCTCCGCCAACCCTACGGGAGGACACAGGGTCTGCTGCTGGCCTCTGCGGGGATGGGTGGAGGCCACGTGTCTGCTCTCCGCAGCAGGTCTCGGCTCTGCCTGCTCAGCATCGCCCTGGACCCTGCGGGGGCCTCATCGGGGGCATAAACAGAAAAAGTGATATGAGCAAACGGAATGGGCAATGAGTGAGGGAGCAGAAAGGTTGCGGGGGAGTGGAAGTTAATGAAAGTACGAAGAAACTCAAACTCGGGTACCGTGGATGAAGCACTAAATCTAAATGTAGTTGCTGAAATAAAACCAGGCAGATTGACTTCAGCCAGATAGTTCCTTTTTTCAGCCAAATATTTTCTTTTCCCTTTCTTTCTTTTTCCTTTTCTTTCTCAGGAAAATTGTGACCCAGTATCTTGGGAATCAACATTTCAAGATTAGATTTCCAAGCCCCCCGAAGTCGCTGTCCCCAGCTTTGGCATGTCCATGCCTCAGGGCTGCCCAGCCCAGAACAGGTATCGTAGCACATAACCCCTGGCTCGGCTTGACTCTAGGGTAAGAATTTGTGGTTTTAATTAAATCAGGTCCTTAAGCCTCGGCGACCCACCTGACATATCTGTGGCATAGGCAGACTGATGCTTTCTAACACCTGAAAATCCATTTTACGTTGGTAAAGCTGGAGTTACCTACGTCCTGTGCCTCGCTTGGGCGCCCGTCGCTGTGGGAGCCGGTGGCACATCGTCCTCACAGGGTCTCAGGGTGGGGGGGCTGATCCCACCTCGTTTCTCTCCCCCAACCTGGGGCGTTTCGTCATTGCCCAGCAGCTTCCAGGGGTTCCTCTCTCCTTTCCCACACTGGTGGGAAGCTTCAGCTCTGGGCGGAAAAGCAGACAGGGTACCGAGCTCCTCAGCTTCTGGGGGTTTGACCTAAATGTCTCAAAATCAAATGAATGCAGCGGCTGTATTCGGGGGGGGGGCAGGTCTCTGTGCACACTCATCCTTCCTCTGACAGAGGCTTGGGGGGTGTGTGTTTCCCTCTGCAAAATGCCTCCAGTGAGCCACCGAGGTGAGGACCCTCCCCTGGGGACTTGACCTCTGGACTCTCCCTGCTTCAGACGAGAAGGAGACGTGAGCGGTCCTGACGTGGGACACAGAACCTCTGGGGTGCGGCTGCTGTGGGGCACCCTGTGTGACCCCACGGGTTTGTGGCTGCCAAAGCGGCGATGTGCCCCCCCCCCCC